TACAATAAGAATACACAGTAAATAAATCCAGAGCATCCATCCCATACTTGCCCTGACACCACATGAACGTCACAGACAAATATCAAACACTGCAGAAAAGGATAAATATACCAATCTTCCCCATCATCTTTTATAACTGCAGATGGCAGGGAATGCAGGGGTTGCAGGGATTGTTGAAAGAAAAAGCACCTTTCAAAGGTACTGCTTGTGTGATTGTGCAGTATTACAATGTGAATGCCAGCATTAGTAGTTCTGCTCTCATAATCATTTAGGCATAAATCTATAATCTCTTGTCCAGGATGTAAGCCAAACACCTAAATTAGGTGGATAAAATCGCTCTAATACATCCTTTTTGCACACAAATAAAAATAATGTCTTCATTATTGTTTCTTCCATTGAGTGTGACCCTGTTGATATAGTTAGAACTAATGCAGCTCAAATGAACAACCAAATGCATTCCAAATCTTGAACCAGGCAAAGATGAATACACCAGATATTGTCCTCCATCTCATCTTGTATTTCGTGCTGTGTTTTGATGTCTGTGCCACTGCCAGAAGTCAGTCTGACACAATACATAAAATATAAATGAGAGGGTGGGCAAGTGGGCTACCACAAGCAGGCATGCCAGCTGTCTGTTGTTTCATAGCACTGTACTGCTGACTCACTTACAGAATAATAGAATAATGTGCGCTTTGTCTGCTGTACTTACCTGTCTTCTGGTCAAGGCTTTGCTGAGCATTTTAAATGTATTTATAGCTCCTGTTTCCATTTTGTTAAAGTGGGTGGAGGAATATTTCCAATTTCAAAGTGTTTTCCTGGAAATAGCAATCATCTTGGTGTTTGGTGCAGTAATTGCTTATTTGTCTGTGAGCAGAGAATTATATTTTGGCTAGATTGCCTTGCTCTGTGTACGTTGGGCTCCCTGACCGGTTGTTGACACAAATTAGTACTCAGGGATGGTATATAAGGGATTCCTGTGTAATGTGCTGGAAAAATGCAGTTTTGGCTGGGGGTGCTGCTGCTGGTCTGAATGTTGATGCACAATAAATGCTCACTCAAGGACTGGACTAATCCACGCTTGAGCCTGCTCAATCATTCTCCATTGCAGAGAAAAGGGAAAAGGCTGCGTTGTGGTTCAGGGATCCCATAGTCCCTTGAGGACAATTTGCTGATAGAGAAAGTTGCTGCTAAGTCAAAGGTTGAAGAGCAAACTTCACCCTAATCCTTATTTATTAGGCCTGTTGATTATTTATGTCATCATCCTTTATGGGAGAAAAGCAAGGTTACTGAGTCATCTATCCATGTTATTCCTTATGCCATAATCATAGAGCTACCTCACAGCAGTCCAGTGTGAGTAAAGAGCCAGCCTAGATGTGACGTAATATGAAGCTATACGATCCGAGCCTGTGTGGCTTCATATTACAACAAGAAATCATAAGTTCTTCCTAGCCAGGCTTATACTATAGTCACACTATGCAAAACAGTGGTTTGAGACCAACGCATAATCAAAACGATTGCAATGGTTCAATAAATTGCAGTCTTGTTGCCTTTGAAATCATTGCTTGAAAGATCCTGTGACTGCTCACATTCAGGAGCCGTCTTCATTTTTGCTACGTCAAAACAACAATTAAATGGCATCAAGATGAAGTCAGTCTACTATCAGTCTGCTGTTACTTTGCAATTGGGGTCAAGCTGCTAAATAAATTTGTGATAATGGAGCAATTAACTGTGATAAATTTGTGAAAATTGCAATTTTGTTGCTGTCTGTTATAAATCTTTTGTTGAACCTGAACCTCATAGATTTGAAACAGAAATTCAGAAATTACTCAGTGATGTAGTAGCTAGAGGATGATAATTTAAAAGCTAAATGGCTAAATAGGTGTTTGCTGGAATATAACTAGGTTACAACCAGCTGGCAACCAGCTTGGTTGCTTGTTTGCATTTATAATAGATGGTGGTTGTTTGCAAACCTTCACCAATCGCTCTGAGAGTGATTGCAGTCAATCTGATACAGACTGCAATGTTTTGGAGACAGATTCCATCAGAGGGCCTGTTCAGCTGCCTTGCAATCTTGCACAACTACTTGAAATTGGTTGCTGAATGCCAAAAACTTCCATGCAATCATTGGGCAAATGATGCCTTCCTGTTTTTTACCCTAGTGTGACTGAGCCATTATACACCTCTGAGGTTTTTAATATATACAAATGTTACAACTATTAAGTTAGCTAATGCTGTGTTAGCATTGCATTGCATTCTGCAGATTTACACATATGGAAAGAGCCGGAACAGTCAAATGCTATAACTTAATACAATTTTAGCTTTTCAGTAGGTATCTGTAAACTTATGTTTAGTCATTATATCTATGAATTACAGTAGATTAGATCATTTTTATTGTACTATTTGGTTCTTCCTCCCTGGTATCGGCTATAAATTGTAAATAAACTCTCTCGTCACCTATTGTGTGAGCAGACATGCACCTGTGCCAGCATGCCTCTGCTCTTTGCCTGTTCCAGGCAAGTAGATTGATACATTACAGTAGATCGATATCACTAAATATCCTCAGTGGACAATTGAATTGGCAGAACTTGTTGTATGGAAATGTAGTCAGATTCAGTCTTTCTGTCTTTGCTAAATATTTAGGATTTGCATGATTTCTATGATTGGTGGTATAATTTAGCAATTTTCATCACATATGCTGCTGTGCAACAAGTCTTTTTGCTTTCAAGGTGCAAGACCTAAAGTGTTCTTAAGCAATAGCTCTCTAGGCTTTCTAAAGGCTGGCTGGTTGGCTGTTTTTTATTTTTTTTAATTAATTAATTTGTTTTCACTCGTTTTCAGTCAAGTGTAGATACCTAACCATTTTTTTAGATAAAATATTTTTTGTTTGTTAAGCCACTTAACCTTGATTTGTGAATCATTCAAACATAAATGTTCTGTCTACACATAACAGACAGCTTGACAAAGAATCAGTTTTAGTTACCTTTAAGCACTGTTACTAGGTCCCATTTTAAAACATATAATTTGTTCTGATTTTGTTAGCTGAATCTATGAAAACTGCCAAAGATAACATCATTTAACAGACATAAATAGTATTTTTGCACTAGCTAACACCTGAAAACCTGGCATATCTCAGCATGCTGTGCCAGGGTGTCCTTAAAGAATTTGAAGAACTTGGACAAGTGGAGTATAGAAGAAGTGGTAGGCTTTTAAAAAAACAGCTGAGTAACAGTATCTGAAAGTCATGCACAAAGTCATGCAAAAAAAAAAGAAGATAAAACTGAAAATCCAGCAACGACCTGACACACAATCTGAGACATGCAATCTTGCAATCTCAATCTGTAGTTGACTCTTCACTGAAGCCTCAATAGAAATGGTCTCAGTGAAAGAGTCACTGTGAAGAAGGCGTTCTTAAGTAAGAGAAACAGGGAGAAAAAGCTAAGGTATGCCAAATTACACAAAAACTGGAGCAAAAATCAATGGCAATATAGTGATGAGTCCAATTCTGGAATATCTGATTCAAACAATCATCAATATTTATGAAGGAAATCAAGAGAGAGGTACAACAGTGAGTGTTCACAGCCACCTGTAAAACACGGTGGAGGCCCTGTCATGGTTTGGTGCTGCATTTCTGACAGTGGTGTTGGGGATGATGCGAAGATTGATGAAATTATGAACGCAGAAAATAAAGTAAAATTTTGATCCACGATGCAGTACCATTTGGAAAGCATTTGATTATCAATGGCTTTATTTTTCCACAGGTCAATGATGGTAAACGCAGTGCTAATGAGGTAAAAGCCTCTATGGGGAAAAACACAGAGTGGAGCACTGACAGTCATGGACTGGTCCCCCTAGAGCACTAACCACAATATTATTGAAGCAGTGTGAGACTATCTTGAGAGAGAATGGAGCAAAAGGCAGGCAAGAAGAGCGTTGAATGTCCTCGAGAACTGCTCCTAAGGACTACTTAAAGAAATTACAGGAAAGCTTGCTAGAGAGAGTTCAGAGTGTGTTGAAGAGTAAAGGTGGTCATACAGAATATTGACTTTCAATTAATATTGTGCAAACTCTTCCTGTTGCCTTATAAGCTGTATTTTTACACATCGCTTTAAACAATTACAAATTTGTAGTGTAAACTTACACGTGTAGGTTTGCAATGAAGGACATAATTCACAATAATTCCTAAATAATTCATAATTTCCCTGAAGGGACCTCCCCAAGGGATTAATAAAGTTCTATTCTATTCTGTTCTATTCTAAAAGTTATACTGCCCAGTGAATTCTTGCACATTGAAGGAGATGCGAAAATGTTGCTTTAAGATTAAACCAGGAGGAGTCAAGAAGGAAATGTGGTTCATTACCAGTACATCATCACAATGCAGCAGAGGTCAGAGGAATCTTTCTTTGAGCTTTATCACATTGCTGTCCCAAGGAGCAAAACCGTAAATAAACATCATCTGAACTTTGGTACAGGCCTTTTGAACTTCACTTGAGGTCCAGCACATTCAGTGGAGTTGACATTGTGTTTTCTCAGTTTTGACCCACTGTGTTTCAGACTACTGCTACTTCAGTGAATTTTAAGAAATCATTTTGCTGTTCTTGGCTGTTTGCCGTGGTTTTATGTGTGGATACTTGAGAGTAAACACTGTGAACAAATGGAAAAAGGCTTAAATTTTTTTGTTGTTGTCCCTGTTCTTGTATCAGAAGGTCATGAAAAACACTGCCTGGCTGTCTTGCTGAGACACTTGTGGGCTGCGACAGTGCTCAAAGGAAAGTCCAATTGGGCCTTTTCACCTGCTGTGACACTTGAAAGGCCAAGCACTCCCACCTGGGGCTTTCACACTTGTTTTTCTCTCCAAATCTTTAGAGGTGTCAACCAACGTAAAGAAAAGGAAAAAATACAAATATGTTTGAGTTGTCTGTTCTTGTCTTTCTTCATTTACTGGATTATGTTGACCGACTCTAAAAGCAGAATTTTCACTCTTTTGTTTTTTGGATTCACAGGTTCGTCAAGAAAACACAGCGCCACTCATTGGTGCCTGCAGAATATTGCACAAGAATCAGTCGACAGCTCCGATGAGGAGTTCTTTGACGCCAGAGGTTAGTAAGAAATTGCATGTCCTCATCTCCTCGTGCCTTCATCTTGTAGTTTTTGGACTTTCCAACATTATTAGTGAACGAAAGAACCCAAACTTATTATCAGCATTTCAAAAAACCTCTATACTTGTTTTCCTTGCTGCCCTTTCCACTGAAGGAGCTGAAGAAAATGTATCCTGTAGGCATTATGATAGATAAATTATTCATTACTGAAAGGTTCCAGGTGTGTTTAGGCTTCAAGGAAACATTAAAAATAGCAGTAACGCTATTTTAAAAAGGCATCTGTGCTGGCAAGGACAAGTAACAAAAAACCGCAACTCTTGCTGGACAAAATGACACATCCTCGTTTAGTATTTAGGGAAAAGAGGCCAAAAGGAGCTGGGTGCAGCTGCTAGCAACGAATACAAGATGATTTGTCAGCATAATGTGGGTGCAAGGCAGACAAACAAAGTAAGGAACAAATCTGAAAAACAAACGGAATTATACAAAGAACCACGAATAACAATGAATAACAAATTTCAAATGATTGCAGAGTTGTCTGTTTCTGTTTCATCAAACAAACATTACATAGACAGCTTCGATTGGTGGTGCAGGTATTTTTCAGTGTCTTCTCTCAATGATGAAAACTTGCTTAAAAGAGCCAATAATCGCTAATCTCAACAATTAAGAATCTGGGATATCATACAAGATTGAATTCCAACTACAGAATAATAAATCAAATAATAAAACTACACAAATGTAACAGGTTGTGACAAAGGTTAATTAGCTCCTTGTATTTCAAAGCAGAAGGTCCGTATTGTGTATTTATGATTGCTGTAGTGACCGGACTTGATATAGATGACAAATGAAGTCTGTCACTCTTAATTGTTGTCCACTTTCCTGCTGAAGATCCTTTTAAATTCATTTAGATGTCAGCTTGACCATAAATAGACACACTTGAGAACATGCCGGACTGCTAGCCTTTTCACGGTCCCAGTGGGAGTTAATCAGCGAATAAGTACAACACTTATCGCTCCAATTATCCACTCCAAGTGCTTATCCCCAAAGAGTCTGATGGTAGAGACACTTCTGAATTATGGTTTTAGTAGTGTAACATGTTCTTATTTTACATTAGGTCGGTGAATATCCAGCAGTGTGTTTAGAGTTTCGGGTGTTTAGTGTTCTTTTGTATGAGATGAAAACATGATAAAAATGTGCCTCTGGGGTATCAGATAAAAAGTGCTGCACTCATTTCTATTTTTGCATTTAAGGGAAAATGTAAGTCACATGTTCGGTGTAGAGGAACTTTATATAACAGTCTTGTCCTTAACTTTTGCTTTTATCGATGCCATTTTCCCTTCCATTTTCATTCAGTTTTGTTTGATTTTCCTTGCCTCCCCTCTCCCGCGTAGTCTCTTTGCCAAAAAAAGGCACGTTTACAACTCATAGTCTTAGAAAACATTAAATATTTATCCTTATCACAGCTGTTGCAGAGCAGAGCTGTGCATTGCACTGCATTTTATGAGGCCGGCATCGAGGCGCCTATCAGTGGCGAGGAATCACTGGGGGAAAAGATAGCACACATGCCTTATATGTGAGCCGATGTACCTCATCACCCTCACACTATCTGCAGCATGGAATTCCACTCTCAGCCAAGAAATATCCCACGTGGCTGTGAAGCAGAGAGAAACGGAGATGTCCCTTATGTCCTTTGATTAAATATTGGTGGTTAATGGGGAAAGAACCTAATTCTGTGAGAACCTGCCATGCCTCTAATTTGTAAAGTAAAAATTCTACTATAGGTTTCCAACCAGAGAAGTCCTATGTTGTTGGGAGATG